TGGTGAGACCTCATCTCTACAATAAATTAAAAAAAAAAATTAGCCGGGTGTGGTAGCACGTGCCTATAGTTCTAGCTACTTGGAAGGCTGAGGCTGAAAGATCGCCAGAGTCCAGCAGGTCGAGGCTGCAATGGCTGGGAGTGGCCATTGCACGCCAGTCTGAGTGACAGAGTGAGACTCCAACTCAACAAAACAAAACAAAAACCACCAAGTGTGCGGTACTTTGTTATGGCTAGCCCTAGGAAAGGAATACATGCATGTTCCTCAAAATTTCAGATCCCTGCTGGGCTCGATGACTCAGCCTGTAATCCCAGCACTTTGGGGGGCCGAGGTGAGTGAATTGCCTGAGCCCACAGGTTCAAGAGCAGCCCAGGCAACTTAGTGAGACCTCGCCTCTACAATAAATAAAAAATGAGTCAGGTATGGTAACACATGCCTGTAGTTCTGGCTACTTGGAAGCCTCCATTGCCAGAGCCCAGCAGGTTGATGCTGGGGTGGCCGTGAGTGTGCCACTGCACTCCAGCCTGGGTGACAGAGTGAGACAACTCAAAAAAAAATTTCAGATCCCTCGGGCCCCTTCCCTTCAGTCCCTCCACTCTCAACAAATAGCCATGTCTCCTACAAAGAAAACCGAAGTCCACAGACAAGTCCAGACCCCTTCAGTGCACCACGCTCTCCTTCTTCTCCTTGCAAGGCTAGTTCCTCCACTTGGGCTATGGATTCCACCCACTCCTGCTTCTCAGAAACGTTTCCCTGTCTACCATCTGCTTAGACGTTTGACTTTCTTCCCCTCACATAGACCTTTTCCATATTCCAATTCTCCCCCTAAAAACAAAAAGAACTCCTTTCCTCATTCTCTCATAGTTACTGCCCTAACTCACTCTCTTCGTTCAAAGTCAAATTTTCTTGAAGAATTATTTCAACCAGTTTGGCTTCTTCACCTCTCACTCCTCCCAACGCTCTCCATGTGGCTTCTGCCCCAAACACTCCACTGACATCGTTCTTGTTATGGTCACCGGTGACTTCATGTTGCTAAAACCATTGGCTAATTTCAGTCTTCTCCTTCCTCAACCTTTCAGTAGCACACTGTGAACTGTGAATTGCACACTGTGAACTGGGATCTCCTTCCCTTTACTCTGGTGAGTTCTGGCCTATTTCTCTGTGGCTCCTTCCCAGTATTCCTTGAGGCTCAGACTCTTCTCCCTTCCATTTCATGCTGTGTTCCTCATTTTCAGGCTCTCTTCTCAGACTACAGTACTCCATTCCCTATATAATCTTATCCCTCTGTACTCAGACCCAAACCTTAAACTTGGACCTCTCCTCTCAGCTCCAGGGCTGTAGATTAAAATGCATATGCAGCATTGCCACTTGGATATCTCAAAGTCACCTGAGACCCACGTCCAAAACCAAGTCAATGACCTTGGCAAGACCTAGTTCCTTTCCACTGCTCCCTCTCCTTGTGAACAGCACCACTGTCCATCCAATCATGCAGACCAGAAACTCAAGAAATCTTGACAATGCTCTCTCTCCCTCATCCTCCATATTCACCAACCATCTTGTGGATTTTACCTCCTACAGTCTCTCAAATCTATATTTCCTCTGAACTCACTTCTATTACCCTTGTCCAAGAACTATCACTTCTCAGTTGGATGCAAGAGTCCAAGCATCAGCTCTTGTTTCTTTCTAAATTGTTCCTCTTATCATTGGCTGAATGATGATTTCCAAAGGCAAATCACATCTCTCCTCATCCCTCACTCCTTCTCTCCATCCACCTTATGCTGCCTTCTCTACTTAAAACCTTATGATGACTTCCCTACACTCTTAAATTAAAGCAAAAATTCTTAAAACAGGTTGTTAGATCTGCCTGATATGGTTGACATCAAAATCTCCAGCCTCACTTGCTTTCATGCTCTTCTTCACTCTCTGCGCTCCAGCTATATTGGCTTTCTTACAGTCCTTTACATGTATCCAATTACCTCCTGCCTCAGGGTATTTGCACATACTCTTCTGACCCTCCTTTGCTTGGTTAACAGCCTACACAGCTTTCGGATGGTGGCTCAATCTCATGTCCACAGGGAAACCCAACATGCCCTCCTGAGTTCTCTCCTTCAGGGCACTTCCACAGTGGTGAGTTTACCTTTATGCCCTTTTGATTACCTTCTGTCTCCTCCAGACTGTTAAGCTCTATGATGCCAGAGACTCACTTAACACCCAGCACAGTACCAGGCACAGAATAGTCACTTGCAAGTATTTGTTGAGTGACTAAATAAAAGAAAGTCCTATGTTGGGTTTTGGGGATAC